TTGCTATTGCTATTGCTATTGCTATTGCTATTGCTATTGCTATTGCTACCACTATTTGGAACTCATTATGGGCTGTGAATGAATATAATTCACAGCCTTTGAAATAAATAGAGGGTTGCAGCTGGTGCAGCTGGAGCGTGTTTGTGGTAGCGCCTCCTGGTTTGTTTTTTTTTTTTTTTTATCAATTTTTAGTACTCCCATTGGATCCTTTTTTATATAACTAATATTTTTTGGCGGAGATAACAGCGTAGACCATAACACAGACAAAAGTGATCCTGATCTGGGGGTGGGGCGGTGTGGGTGGGGAGACAAACTGAAAGCCAGCTGTTCTCACAAACAACTAGTCCAATTACATCCTGTATGGAGTCTGAGATAAAGGCTAATAAGGTTAAGAACAACAAGCTAATTCAGAGTACGGAGAGTTTACCATGGGAAAATACAAAAGAGTTTATGGCAAAGCAATGACTTCTTACAGCGCACAACTAATAGCCATTCAACATGAGTTAGAGACATTGAAAAAAGATATAGCTGTTTTTCTTCAAGCACAATATCGGGCTCCAGACACCCCTACTAAAGTTCTTACAGCAGACTTGGTTAACTCCCATACGCAGGATAAGGAAGAGGAAAAAGACCAAAGAGCCAGAGAAACAGTTAAAGAACCTGCTAAAAAGTGGCAGTACACTCACAAAACAGACCCTCCCCAGACAAGGCAACGAGAGGGAGATGTATTAATAGAGAAGTTTCACTGGAGCCAGGAAAGCATCTCGCCTCCAATTTCAACAATCACATTGCTCACTACAAACACAACGGACACACACCATACCACAGATGCTATTTAAGATGAAGGCACATTTAGCCTCCTTTCAAAACTTTCCCATCAGAGTCTTCTGTGAGGAAATGGTTACACCCTTAATTGTTAACATGCAAGCTCCTGGAAAATAGAAGGACATAGTTTAGAACAGGTTAGATCATTTAAATACCTTGGGGTGGTTTTCCACTTGCAAGGGACATGGAAGGCACACCTGGATCATACATTGCAAGCAGCCAGTAGGTCCTCAAACGCAATTTAAAATTTCTTTTACACAGGCGGAGGTCAGTTAGTACCTGCTGCCTTAAAACTTTTCGAGGCCAAAACATGGGGCACAAACAGGAATCCTTGCAAAGAAAGACTTGCTAGAAATCATACAAACCAAATTCCTGCGAGCCCTCTTAGCTGCACTCAAAGGAACTCCAAATGCCCAGTTAAGAATTGAGACAGGCATGCCTCAAATTCAGGTAACGGCTCCTGCTGGGCCACAACACTATCCCTCACCACAGGGCCCTTCCCCCGGGTCTGATGCTCAGGGTGCGGCCTTGAGGGATATTGTGCATGGTAGGTCCACACCAAAGCAGGGGCATGTACGTCCGTCGCATTGGTCCAAGTCCCCCGATCGGGTAGGCCATGCAGCCAGAAGACATGCTGGATGAACATGCGGGTGGTGGCGCGGGCTGTCGGCAATCTTCGACAGGAGACGAAATGGACCATTTTAGTGAGCATGTCCACCACCACAAGGACCGTGGTAAACCCCGAAGACGGAGGCAGTTCCATCAGAAAGTCCATGGACACGGCTCCCCAGGGTCTGTCCGGGGCCGGCAATGGCTGAAGCAGGCCTGGAGGAGCTCCCGTCGCTGACTTGGCCTGTCGACACTGTACGCATGACGTGACGTACATCTGCACGTCGTGTCGTAAGCAGGGCCACCAGAAAGTATGGGAGACCAGGTTCAAAATCTTGAAAAGGCCAAAATGTCCCGCCGCCAGATTGTCATGAGACTGGGAGAGAATAAATTCCCAGAGGGGCCCTGCGGGCACATAGAGCCAGTCCCGGTACCTCAAGAGGTCATTGTCGAAGGTCCACGGGGAAGTCAGCCCTACCTCTGCCCTCCGTTGCTCCACACACTCGTCGCACCGCTGCGCATCCCTTATCTGAGACCGTAAGTCCACGGGCTCGTGAACTGCAGTGAAGGATTCGACGGGTAGAACTGTCTGGGGTGGAAGCGAGTCTGCAGTGTCAGAGTACTCCGGTTTCCTGGACAGGGCATCCAACCTTTGGTTTTGCGCACTTGGAATGTAGGTCACTCTGAAGTTGAACCGGGC